TACCTACGTTTATTTACTAAAAGTCTCAATCTTTGTAAAGACTTCTGGAACAATCTAAAATGAAAGATGGAGTAAAATAAAATTTGCGTACAAGAGATAGCCCAGCTATCTATAAAGTATACGGAGTATGAGCTAGCTCTTTAACAATACATATTAATATGAAGCACGATTGTATGTTTTGCATTAATAAGATATCAAGGTGCATCTGTTATTGTTTCTTACCAACCCTACAAATATAATTGTAAGGCTCACTTGTAGTATCATATACTCCGTATAATGCATACTATGTACGAGGTATTTTATAGCATCGCTAATAATACTCCGTAGTAACCTAAATAAAAACATACCTGTGTTAATATTAAATTATGAATCTCTCAACCTTCGTATGAACTGATATGTGATGATGAGAGAATGGAATAGACAGAGAAAAGAGATGAAACCTTGAAATATAGGAAAGATATAAAATGATTACTCCCTCAGTATCAGATATATCTTCCCACTTCCAAAGTGGGTGAGATTAAGAATAGTGAAATAGAGTATGAATTATTGAGGGTATGATGGGAAGATGGTGAAATAATGTGATGGAATGAAGGATAAATCCAAAAAAAAAGTAGGTGTAGTAGTGTATTATTTTTTAAATTATTGAGGTATGATAGGAAGATTTAGAAATAAGAAGATATAAATGTTACGTCCAAAAAAGGAAAGTGGGAAGATATGAATGTTAGAGAGGGAGTATAAGTTAAAAGGATCACCGTACATATATGGAGTATTTGATAGGCTGCTAAAGGAATTTCAATTATTTTTATATCCAAAAATAATGAAGTAACCGATTATATATGAAGCACTGACAATTTTCTGAATGAAGTAATGGGTTGATCTTTACAACTCACAGGTCTGCAAGGTATTTTAATTAGTAATTATAATATCATATGTACATTCACATAGCCGTCCAATCAATTTGGAGGCCCTGTTCCAAACGTAAAATCAAGACCCTATGTTAATATTAAGAATTAGAAAGAAACTCAAATGAAATACTTTTACTGAAATCAATTGAATATTCATCAAAAAATGTAATAAAAAAACTAAAAATCACTTTGTAGTTGATTTAAATCTACACAACTCATCACTCAATCAATTGGAATAAAACATGAGTAAGACTATAAGAGTACCGACAAAAAAAATTATTTTATTGATTAATATTTTACTGTAATACTAATAAACTTTTAGAAAATTGGGGCCCCAGAAATCGGGAGGCCCTGTTGTGTAGAACATGTTGAACATATATACATATATACTCCGTAATATACGTACATAATGAAACTCATGAGTCGACATACGGAGTATTAAACATCATACAGCTGGTAGTTATCCGTCACGGGCCATACTCATATAATTCAATAATTGATATACTACATACATACTCCGCATATGCGAGGGTAGAAAAAAAAAACATCAAATATACTCATCTAAATATATGAAACCAAGTCATGGATATAATTTAGATGAAATAATTTTCTACTCTCTGAGTAGTCGGGCAGACATGATTTTGTTTCTATATGACAGTTAATTATGGCCGGATCGGACTGTTAAAACAATTTCGATCATCACTAATAATAATAACAATAATTATTAAATCCTACTATATCTCTGCCAAAATGTCACGGGTAATTGATATATGTCCGGACTGTGTTGATATATACATGAGAAAATAATACTGCAACGCCTAACATGTTAGTAGTATTAACTACGAATTAGAATCATCATATTAGTATGACTATAGTTATGATACGTCCAACGGAGTAGCAATTTTAAATTTGCGACCATGTGCGGTAGCAATTAAAAAAAACAAAAAAAAAGTATGTGAGACGATTCTATTGTTTTGTTTATCAAAAGTACATATAATCACAGTGGAGTGCCTCACTTTATCTTTTGATATATTTTTCTTCTTCAAACTAAGTCTGTGGTTTTCATATAAAGTATTCTTCTTAATAATATTCTATTGAAATTATACGAAGTATTTTGTACTCGATCTCAATAATAAGACATCACTGAAACCACCTTAATTACTTCTTATGGGGAGAGTAACAAAGAAAACGAGTTACTAAATAGTTGTGTATTGTTAAAACCAAGACAACAATTTATCCATCAAAGACATACGTTACTATAGTATATAATAACCTTTCATCAAGGATTTTTTTCACCAAAACAATCTTTCAAAATAATAACCTTTGATTATTATTAAGTTACACGTCTCCAATTGTTAAGAGGACCCCTTAACAATTGGTATGACAGTAACTTGAACCAAATGGTTGTTAGGTACGTTTCTCTCAATTGTCGGGAACAACCCCTCATAATGGCACTCATGATTGTTTTTAATCTCAAATGATGAGGTAGAAATAAATAAGAAGTAAATTAAATATGTGAGCTAAATTACTTCTCTTATTAAAAGTCATAATAAAGTATCTCACTTTACTTTCTCCTTGTTACCTAATATGGAGTATATTTCAAAATAAAAATTTAAAGTACTTATTTTTTTAACGTGAAAGTTATGCACTTCTAAATGTACTATTGAATAAAGTACACTTTATATTACAATATTGAACTAATATTTGTTCATTTTTATCTTCGTGAAGATATGGAGTTAGCTGAAATTTCTCCAAGTGGTTTTGAATAATGTCTAATAGACAGTGCCACAACGCACACCATTTTGAGACATAGAGATTATTTTTCTCATATGACATTAGTTGATGCTAATGTCAATACAATCTCAGGTGTTGCTAAACTCATTGAAGGTTCTAGAATAGCTTGTGTGATTCTCCCAAAAGGGACAAAATTAATAATTAAAAACATTTTATACTCCAGTAAATCACGGGGAAATCTTTTGAGTTTTAAAGATATGCGTCTAAATGGTTTTCATATTGAAACCATGTCTGAAAATCAGAAGGAATATTTATGTCTAACGACAAATAGATCTGGCAATAAATACATTTCTGAAAAAATGTCAGCATATTCCTCGGGACTGCATTATACATATATAAGTCCAATTGAGATAAACGTGGTATCTAAAATTTATGACCACAATTCTTTTATCTTGTGGCATCACCGTTTAGCACAAAATTATTGAAAATTCACTTGGACATTCATTAACTAATGTCAAGATTCCACACGTCAGTCTTTTATCGACTCGAAATTTTGCATTTGCAAATCTCTTTGCTCAAATTATTCGTTTGAGATTATCACAATTTCCGGATTATTCGATAAAGAAAATCCGGCCTGATAATGCAGGAGAATTTACATCCCAAACTTTTAATGATTATTGCATGTCAATTGGGATTGATGTGGAACACCCAATTCCACATGTACATACACAAAATGGTCTTGTTGAATCCTTAATTAAGCGATTACAATTAATTGCTAGACCATTATTGATGAAATCCAATTACCATCATCTGCATGGGGATATGCTATAATTAATGCTGCAAATTTAATTTGGCTTAGGCCAACGGCATATCATAAATTTTCCCCATTACAAATAGTATCTGATCTAGTAAAGAACCAAATATATCACACATAAAAATATTTGGTTGTTCTGTGTATGTATCCATTGCTCCACCTTATCGTACTAAAATGGGTCCTCAAAGAAGGCTGAGAATTTATGTTGGTTTTAAATCTCCCTCAATTATTTATTATCTAGAACTTATGACTGGTAACTTATTCACCGCACGGTTCGATGACTGTCATTTTAATGAGACAGTATTCCTACCCTTAGGGGGAGATATTAAAGAAATGGACCCACGTAAACAAAATGCATATTTTTCCATATGGAATGCAACCATATGTGTAAACAAAATGCATGTTCTCTCCCTTTTTCCACTTCAATATTTAAAGTGATATACTACGTACTACATGTAGCAGTATAAGATATGGAATATAATGCTCTTTAGATTTTGTTTTTATGACCCATGTCATTTTGAGTTTAGTTTTGAATAAAGATCTGATCATCTGAATACGACCGAGAAAAAAATTAATCAGATGATTAAAATGCTATTAATTTTAGTGTTTCAGTTCAACTCCTTAAATATCCTTAAACGTATGTCAATTTTACCATCTAATTATTCCAAATACATCTTATTTTATTAAAACACACTCCATTTATGCTTTTATCAGTTTGATGTTGTTTTACATTTTCAAATCATTTTTTCAGTTGTGTAGTTTAATGAGTTTTCTTCATACAATTTTAGATAACAACCTTCACCTTCAAGGCTTCAACCTTCAATCGATTCTTCGAGACATAGCCCTGGCTTCATCCTATCATTGTATTGTACAAAAGCTGTACAAAAGCTAGCTCATCATCCTCGGATAACAACATGCAACAATAATATACCAGTTTCCCAAATAACAAGAACACCAATGTATTGCTACACATTTCATTTTCAGCATAACAATATAAAATATAATCAATTAAGCATTTGTTGGTGAATGTTATCTCAACTTAGAATTTCAAAAAATTTTCTCCGTATTTTTTGGTAATAATTTCTCCATATTTAAAAATATACGTAGTATAAATGTTCAATAAGGATTTTCAATTATCTACTCTGATCCATATGCTCCTATTTGATAAGCAACACTTGCCTTCTGTGTAGGGTTGTAAATGAATCGAATAATTTTGATCCGATTCGTGATTCGAATTCGAAATTGATGATTCGAATTCAAAAAAATTGAATACCAATCCGAATACGAATCAGTTTTAGTATTCGCATACGAATACGAATATACATGTATTCGATTCGTATCTTATTCGGATATATTCGATTCGTAATTAATTTCGTGCATTCATTAATATATATTTTGAAGCAATTGATTTTTTGATTAATTAATTTTACAATGTTTATTTATTTGAATGGGTTTCCGTTTGATTTTTGAAGTAGCCGATTTTTTGAAATAGTTCATTTAATAGACATATTTGTGAAAATCGAAAAAATACATAGAATACATCATAATTTGAATATGTGATTTTTTTACACTACATATATTCCAATTCGAATTTTCGAATACAAATATATTTGAATATCATTAACAAATCGAATACGAATCTATTTTAAGATTCGAATAATATCCGAATACGAATACGAATATTCGTCAAGTTATACGAATACGAATAATTTTACTCACTCTTCAATTCGATTCGTTTACAACCCTACTTCTGTGATATAAGGATAACTTCAACCAATGTTGCGATTGATATTAAAAAACATGTAGTTCTAACAAAAGATGTGTTTATATCAGGAACATTACTTTTACACTGATCAAAGTCAGTGCATTTTAATTACTCTTAAATGTTACTGCCAAATGACTACATCTGATTAGTGAGTAGTTGTGATTGTTTCTGGCAACTTTGATTTCTGAAATGTAAATGTATTAGTTGTAGGCATGGACCCGGGCCGGGTCGGGCCCGGGCCGGGTCAAGGCCCGGTCGGGCCTCGGGTCCTATAAGGGTAGGCCCGGGACCGGCCCGGTCAATGACCGGTTCCGGTTCGGGCCGGGTCACCCGCCCGGGTCACGGGTCGGGCCACCCGCCGGGCCGGGTCAATAAATTTTTTTTTTTATATTAATTATATATTATACAAATTGCTATTAAAAACAAAGTTCAAGTGCATTTATTTGAAATAAGAACTACATTTGAGAATTGAGAAAACAATAACAATACGAAATACATTTTGTAATGAATATCAATTGGGATTTCCGCCACCGTTGGTTGTTGTTTTCCCTTTGTCACAAGACTTCATATGTTTTATTGGCATCCCGTATCCGTATGAACCCCCCAAGCAACACTCTTTCTTGCACCACCTGCAAGTTGCCCACCACAGTCCGGTCTTCGGGTCCTTCCACTTGTCAAAATTGTTTTGCATAAGAGAAGATGTACTTTCCATATTTAAAATGGTATATGTATAACACTATAAGTAATTAAGTAGGAATGTAGGATAATAAGAGAAGATAAAGATGGAGAAGAGTTTGAGAAGAATTGGAGAGAAGGTGTAGAAAAATGTTAGAAAATAGATGTATTTATAGGTGTTTTTGAACACCACTCCCCACACCACCACCCCCGGGACCCCCCTGCCCCCCACCCATAGCCCCAACGGCTATATAGCCGTTTGGGAGCTTTGAAATTTTTTTTTTTTTTTTTAAGTTATACACATATTGTAAAATAAATTAATTAATTTAATGAATTAAGTAAAACTAAAACAAATGTTACAAAATAGGTGTATAAGTATTTAAACAAATTACATATTCTAAATGTATTTTTAATTTAAAAACCGGCTTTATATTTTAGAAAAATAATTTTAAGTCGTTAGATTGTAACCAATTAATTAATTTGAGAAGGGCTACATATGAAAAAGTGAACACATAATGGGATGAGGCAGGCGCGTCGGCGTCGTGGCTGCCGGCACCCTCCTCCTCGGCCGTCTCCGGTTCCAATTCCTCCGCATCTTCATCCTCAAGCTCCTCTTCGTCAATGGTCGTCGGCATTTGTTGTTGTTGTAGAAAGCGGTTATTATGTCGGGCCAATTCTTGTTGGAGTTGTTCTTCGGACATCGCATCTCCATCTCGCCTTTGGTAACCCGTTTCAAAATCATCTCGGCTTTGAGATGAAGACCCGGCAAGTTCTTTACCTTTGCGGGATTTCTTCCTCCCAATCTCGTTTCTTCGATTGCGTTGGAGGTTACCCAAATCAACCGAATATCTACCACCTTCCATCTAAAAAATGTAACAAATATTAATTCACAACAAATATAATAATGGATACAAAACTAATGCAACTAATTAAAACTATTTTAATTAATACTTCAAATTAATTTTTTGCAAAGTAGAATTAATGTGTGTCTCTACAATTAAAATTATAGCAACTTTTGAAGTAAATAACTAGTACAAGTAAAAATGTAACAACAATGCTAATTAAGTAGTTAACTAGTATAGTGACAAATGTAACAAACTAACAACTAGTTAAATAAAATGTGAAGTATTTTAATTAGTATAATGAAAAATGTAACAAGAATGCTAATTAAGTAATTAACTAGTATAATGAAAAATGTTACAATAATGGTAATGAACTAATTAACTAGTATAATGAAAAATGTAACAAGAATGCTAATTAACTAATTAACTAGTATAATACTAGTTATAGTAAGTAATATATAATATAATGTTTATATTATATAATATATAAGTATACTATACTATACGATGAGTAATACACTTATATTTTATACTTTAATATATAAATATATATTAAGTAGATGTAGAATGTATGTATTAAGTGGATATAATAATTGTATAAGAATTAAATATTAGAGTATAATGGAGAATTGGAGATTGGAAAATAAGTATATATAAAATATAAGTAGAGAAGTAGATATTATTATGTATTAAGTATATAATAATAGTTTATAAAGTATATTTAATACTTTATTATATAAAGTATATATTAAGTAGATATAGTATGTATGTATGTATTAAGAGATATAAGTAGAAATTAAGTAGATAAGAAATATAAGCAATATAGTATATGTAGATAATAATATATATAAGTAGATAATTAATATATAAGTAGATATAATAATTGTATAAGTATTAAATAGTAAAATAAAATATAAAGGAGAATAAGAGAATTAGAGAAGATGAATATGGAGAATTGGAGAATGGAGATGAGTAGAGAGTAGGATTTAGAAGAGTTGGAGAAGAGGTGTGAAAAAATGTTTAAAATTAGGAGTATTTATAGGTTTTTTTTTTAACCCCCACCCCCCACCCCAACCCCCCACCCCACCCCCCACCCAAACCCCCCTGACCCCCCCTGGTACACCCAACGGCTATATAGCCGTTTGGGGTAGCCGTTTGAGCCAAAACAATCCAAAAAAAAAAAAAATTTTTTTAAAAAGTTGACCGTTAGGCCCGGGCCCGACCCGGCCGGGCCGGGCCTCCAAAACTAGGACCCGAGCCCGGTCCCGCTAACCCGACCGGGTCTATGCCCGAACCGGACCCGGACCCGAGAACCGGGCCGGTTCCGGGCCCGCACAGTGACGGGCCGGGCCGGTCCCGGGCCGGGCGGCCCGAACCGGGTCCACGCCTAATTAGTTGTAAGCTAGGTGACTCATTACAAAGGGGGTGGACCCGGTCCAGCAATCTATCCCGGTCCCGGACTGGGTCCGGTACTGTTTGGGACCGGACCAGGTCTGTGTTTTCCGGTTTCATGTCAAGGACCAGCTCTGTCTGCCAAGAGGGGCACCTAGTTCCAGTTCACATATTTGGGGACCGTAACAGGCGGTCCTGGTCCCAGATTCAGTTCCGACCACCAATTATTTTTAGTCTTGGCAACGGGCAAAAATTTTAAAAAAAAATGAAAAAAAAAGAACTGGACCGGGTCTAGAACCAGGACCGCCCGGTATCTGGAATTACCAGCCCAGACCGGATATGACCGGGTCAGGCCTGGGCTTCTCTAAACAATGACAAGGACCGGCCAGAGTCCACCCCTAGTGGAATCTGGTCACTGCCTTTGCTTCAGTGTTTTATGCAGTGCTCTGTCTGAACCATGAGTAGTTTGTGGCACTGTTTTTTGGCACTTTACTTGGATGATCTCTCTCTGTTTTAATCTTTTTGCCTTTTGAATCTTTTCTGCAGAAACTTCAATAGTCAACAAAATACACTATTGGGCCTAAAAGGAAAATGAGCAAGATGCTCATTGGAAACAAAATCAATTAAATAACAAATAAAAGTGAACTTTAGGATATAGTTTAAAGTTTTTCTTCACAGAAGCAGTCTGGCAATGCAGATCCCTTCCCCATCACATAATCATCCCTGTGAACCTTCCAAATGGCATCTTCCAACTCCTTCCCCACAAGACCCTGAGAAACAAACATAGAAAAATCCTTCCTGTTAAAGAACAATGTCCTATCCAACCCCTTGAATGCCCTCATCGCCGCCACCATCTTATCCATGTTCCCAAAATAAGTAGCCACATAAGCATCGCTGTTAATCGACACATAATAATCAAGTGCGGCTTTGGTGTTCCCATGCATCTTTGTTAAATCTTCACTGCTGATAAGAGCTGATTTGGTCACCACGTTCGTGTAGACCGATTTAAGCCCTTCAATCTCCATCAAACCGTCACCGGCCGCCAAATAGATGGTTGTGTTTCTGGGGATAGAAAGGGATTTAAGGATAACTGCGGTTTCATTTGGAGTGAGGGGGCACTTCCCCCGGTTTCTCCAAATCCGGGCATATTCTCCTGTCCATGGCTTTCTGTCACTTCGGGCAGCCTCTATTGCTTTTGTGGAAGAGCGAGAGAGGTTTGGATAGTCACATTGGCTGTAAGCCACCATGTCTGGTTCAAACCGGAGGTGGAGGGACAAGAAGGGTTTTGGGATGGTTTGTAGAAGATCAGAAGCTTTCTTCTCAAGTGAGCCTACGAGACGTAAGGCATTGTAACAACCTTGACAAAATGCAGCTTTTGCATGCAGAGGATACCTAAAAAAGATGAGAGGTTGATTGTTTTTCTAAGATAATAAAGATAAATAATAATAATGAAATGAGAAGTACATAAAACAAATTTCCACAAATACTCCCCTGTGTGTCTGTCCGACTTAAGCTCTGCACATTAATTAAGAAAGAGACTAGACGAAACTCAATCTATAGCAAAGCTTAAAGACAATGGTCATTTAAGATAGATGAATAAGGGCATAAACGGACTAATCAATTACACTGCGTTTTGAAAGAATGAAAATAACCTTTAATTTCCATCATCTTCTTTCACTCGCAAGTGGAAGGAAAAGTCATCATTTAATATAAAATTTACCTTTTAATCCTACTTTTATTTTAAAATTTGTTGTGTCATCGTTTGTGTTATAACGGTCAAAATCGTAAACTAATAGCTTGTTAAATGTACTTTCTTCCTAAATATATAACTCAAATAAAATTAATGATTTTCATGTACTCTAACACAAGAAGTGATCATAAGAAGGGAAAATAAATCCAATTTCCCTCTTGTTTTTCTCTCCTGTGGAAAATCCAAAACAGTGTTAATGCTGTAAAAATTTCCAAACCTGGAACTTATTCAGGGAAGAAAAATCACAAATAGGGCATCTTTTTCGTGATAGACAAGACTGCATCAAATCGACCACGCCTACACACCCATAACTACAATTCACATGGGGACGCAAATAGGGAGTAATAGCAACAGAGCACATAAGATCTTATCTCAATTATGAAAGGAAATGATACCTATCCCTCCTTTGACTCATTGCAGGTGTGATAGAAATATAGCGATGCTCCAAAAGAGAAGGAAGAACACTTTCAACATAGTCAAATAGGCCTTTCCGTTTTCTGCAATCAACTCCGAAAGGTTCCTTTGAAGCAATCTCTGTAGGAAGATCTTTTACCACTTTAACAAATCCGTTCAATTGTTTGATGAAATAATCGATATCAAATATATCTGAAAATTCACTGAGTGTGAAAAATGAAAATCCCTTATCAGGTTAGGCATATCTCGTCTAATCAGAACTATTACTTCTAACAAATATCAAGGGTCCATTTGTAATTTGGAAAGAGCTAGGTAGAAAATTGGGAGGAAAATTGAATGGAAATTTGGAAGAAATGAGGTGTGGTTAAAATTAAAAAATTGGCTCAAGTCAAATGATCAAATTTAGAGTGTTTCCAAACTCACTATTTCTATACAAATCTTTCATGTTAATACTAAAAAAGTAGATATTTATTGAAAAATCAAAAAAGTTTAATCAAATTTGACATTCCTTAGTATTTTTCAGGGTAAATACAATCTTTATAGTTCCATACATAGCCCAAAGATTTTCCTGGTTTGGTTATTATCAAATAATGGATTACACGCACAATTAATGGGTTATGTCATGCTTTGCATCTGCTTCTAGTTGGAAAATAAAGAAGTTGAATTCAAAGAAGGGTCCATTTTCATCATTATCATACCAATGCATGTGCATACTGGAATTTATGGTCTCATTTGGACTGATTTTTATTTCTGGAAGTAATAGAGTTCGTGAAAATAGGAGGATGTGATACCCATGTTTGGGACTTTGGGATTGAAAGAGTTACTCTGCAATAACTAAGCGATTCCTGAAAATACACCATTGATGAAGTCACTGGAATCATGAAGGCTCTAATCAATCTAAATGCAGCATATAGGCTCATACTCCCTTTGTCACAATCCACCTGTACGCTCTATTTTTTATATAATTTTTTAGATAGTGGAATTGTGTGGACGTGACTTAATTAGAATAGTAGAACAATATGATCTGCATAGTTCTATCCTTAGAATGAAATTGGAAGACATTTTTGAAACAGTGGAAAGTGGGAAGAACATTTTGAAATAGAGGCAGTAATGTAACTATATTTTAAGTCAACTACAAAGGTGACACTTCAATAAGAATCACACATTCACACAATAGCATATTGTTCAAAAAACAACAACCAGCGCTGAATTACCTTGATTCATTCCAATATGCAGCGACTTCAAACTTGGGCAGAACAAGAGTTGCATTAAGTAAACGAGCTACGCCAACTCCATCACATAACTGTATAGCAAAGCATGATTCATGTAATTTTCACACAAACCCCATTTAAAAGTCCCAGCAGGTACCCAAACAAGCCCATAACTCGTTTTGAAGACAAAGGCATTGATATATGTGTGTGTTTATTTATACATTTTCAGTCCCTCAAATAGTGTCGTTATTGAAATGTAGTCCCTGTGTTCACAAGTGTCTAAATGTCACTCCTCCATTGCCGGATGCATGTAAATGTGGTCCTACCCAGATTGTAAATGACACCCCTTATAGGACCATATTTACCACAATTTGGACAGTTGAGGGGTGACATTAATATACTTGAAAACATGGGGCCTACATTCCAATATGGGTGCTATTTGAGGGAGTGAAAGTGCGATTTTCTCATTATTTATTTATACTAATATCATTATAGACTACAGTACTATTAAAGATTGTATTTATTACTCCCTTCGTCTCCAATTAACCTCCCAATTTTGACTGAGTAATAGAGCACAATGGTCAAAAAATGAAAAACTGTGTCTGAAATTTATTTAGAGGGAGTACCACGAAGCACATTTATTATGTTTGAAAAGGAAAATGAGTGATACTTTTGGGACGGGCTAAAAAGGAAAGAGAGCGATTTATTTAGGTGTAGAGGGAACAATGAAATGTATATTTAGTTCTCGAATTGTGTATTAGAGCATTAAAGTCCTGAGTTCTACTAATACTAACTACCGATATCCTACTCATTAGGACTCAAGCAGGTTCGGTACCTGCAATAACCCACCCACTACAATTCCTACAAAGATAAAGAAAGAGAATTAGTAAATTACAAATTAAGGAGCATAACATTTGCATTCAAGTAATAGAGAACTCACATCACGCCTCATCTGATTGAGCCCACCATAACAATCCACTCTGATATAACCGTTGGTCTCATCTGGGAGAGCTACAAAGACAAAAACCATATGCAAATTTTGCATTGGAAGCCAGTGAAGGTCTATAACTTTAGAAGAACAAAAAATACTCATGTAAATTTTTTTTCAAATGGGTATGTTAAACTTTTCATTTATAGAAATTCAAAATGAGAGTAATTAATGTCACGATTGGAAAATACTTTCAAATATGGCATTAACATTGCTAATGCCGGGTAATGTCAAAATATGGAGACAGTAATTTCTAAATTCTATTATAAGGGGGGAAAATTAATAAGCTTATTTTCGAACTTTACATTGCTTTATTTCGTTTTTCAGATTTTACATTGCTTCAGTAAAATCTTGAAAGAAAGAAAAAACTGATTAACTGACCAGTAAAGTTATGTTGAATCCACCAGTTGCAAGGCCGCCATCCCACGAGCCTTCGGGTGCTCCATATTTCTGGTCTTTCGTGTCTGACTTACCAGAAAAAATGAGTTGACGAAAAATCAGCAAAGATAAAGTGGATCTATCATCTATGTATACCAGATTGAAGAGGAGAAAACAATGGGGGAGCTAAATATAGAAATAATTATGAATGGGATGCGTTGAAAACTTACAGCAAAGAACTGGGAGAAAATAGGGTCTCAGAAAAGGGATTTAAAGGAGGAAACAAAATGATGGCTATGAAGATGGAGAAAGCTAGGACGGTGATCCCCAACAATGGCTTCTTCACCGTTGATGCTATCATTCCCGCTGCCAAGCGTGGCCTTTTGTCTTGTCTATGGTTTGTAGGTCTATCTTCTATTGAGGCTAGAAGCAGCCGTATGTACTCCTAGACAAAAGACTGCATGGGTCATATCTACATGAGAGTAATCAATTGTTAAACTTTTTAGGGATTGCACCACTGAGCATTCGGTTGGTCAGTTAAATAACCGACCGATAACCGAATAAACGATTAAAAATTTCAGCACTAATGACCGGCTAAAAGACTTACAATCTTTATATATATATAAATAAAAAGGGAACCGGCTAGAATAAGGATGTTTTTACTTGGACTGTAATTTGATGGTCTGGTCTGAACTGGTCTGGTCTGGTAAGGTCTGGTTTCTTTGTATTTTTATGACTATCCAAGTCTGGTCTGGTCTGAACTGGTCTGGGACAAATTACAGTCCAAGTAAAAAACATCCTAACTGTTCCCGCTTTAATTAATTATTATCTCATCCTGCAAATCACTTGCAACACTAATGCTAAAAAGTGTCCAAATCTGAGCATCTACTTGCAGCCCATTAATTAACTACAACTAAGAATTGGATTTACTTTGAAAAATATGAGAGAAAATTAAAAAAGGATAGGTTTCCTTTCTAAGTATATTTATAATTACTAATCTTTATACTCCGTATATAATATTTATAACTAAGTAGATTTTTTTAGCAAACATCCAAATTTCAATTACAATTTGGACTTTGTTTATTATTTCCGCTCAACAAGTGACATTAAAGGAAATAATGCTGAAATCTGGCAGCTTACCTCATTTTAAAATGTTCTTAAATCAATACTTGAGCACATAAATAATCCATCTTTCTCATGAGGAGGATATAGGCAAAACCCACTACATGGAGTGGCTGCAAGACATAGCACGTATACACTTCAAAGTAAACAAAATCAAGCATCATATTGATATATGCATAACCCACCATGAACACAAAATGAATGGATGTTTACAACAGAAGACATGATTTCACATATATAGACATGGTAAAATCATTAATATGTACAATTTTACCATACAAGTGTGGTAACAATTTCACATAACAAGCGTGTTTAGAATTTAATGGTATGTGGTTATCATTTAAGTAGATAAACCAGATATGTATTTTTTCGGGGCTAAGGTATACCTTACAGATTGTTAGGTGGCCAATTCTGGCTCATTCTGCTTAGCAACAAACTAAGTAGCTTTGGACCTATAAATGTGTGGCTTAAATGGATGTTGATACATGTGTGCTTCCTTTATTAAAAAATTGAGCAAATTTTAGAGTCCATTTGAACGCCAATAAATCTGTTTTATAAGCTAGCTTTCTAACAAGCACAAACAATTTTAGACTACAAAAGGGTGATATGTGAGCTACGTAGTAGTACTATTTTTAGCAGAAAGAGATAAAAGGATGAAATTGATACTTTCAGCTTTGTATTGTATCTAATAGATACTATCTACTTCAATTCCATAAAATTTAAAATTATAACCATATAAGAAGAACTGGATACATTGGTTTGTTGTCTGTCAGCCAAGATGAAGACATATTAAGCAAAGCAACGATTAATCCCTACAGATCGAAGTGAAAGTAGATAATCATGAAAAAATGAGCATCATACAACGCCCTATAAGCTTCATATATTCCATTTATCTATTAACCAGTGACGAAAAATGAAACCAATTTAAGAGAAGAATCAACGTTAAATTAAGGAAATTGATATTAAATTAAACAACAAACCTCATCAAGATCTTGGAATTGGAGACCGTGTCCGGTCTGATGGAGAGGCGGAGAAGGGGAAAGATCGGTGTGATGGAGATGATTTGTGAACCGGGATGAAATGCTTTTTAGACTGTTTACAACTGGACGGGAAGGTGAAGATGTGAATATTGGCCTGTTTGTGTTTGGATGTGGAGTGTGAAGATGGGGATGAGGGTATAAGTCCGTCGGTGTGCTGGGGAGACCGGTAGTGCCTGGGGTTGGTGCCTCGGTGAGGATGACAGTAAAGAAGGGGATGTGTCCAATAAACAATGGAGAAAGGTGTCATTTCAGTACCTGAACTCGTGGCGTGTAGCCTAAAGAATACCTCATGTAGCAAATGAGTTCCAAAGGTACACCAACTATCCAATCGCGGGCTAATTTGGTACTTCAGCCCATTACTTCTGCTAACCCATTGAGGTGGCCAATCTTTTACTTACTTGGCAAAATTAAACATATTCGGTTGTTAATAGCGCCCAACCCTAACCCCTTACCTCTTGTTACGCCACTTACAAACGAACGGAACGGAGGAAGCGAAGCCATTGTAGAGAAGCTTAGAGCAACTTACTTCTTGAGTTTCAGATGGAGATGGAGTCATCTCTTCAAAGGTATTCATATGTATTTTAGAAGCAATATTTTTATTACCATTCCAAGAATTATATGGTTTAGTGCAATTTTTATATACAAGAACTTATACATATGTATTGGTCAGGTGAAGTAAATTTAGGGTTGTGAATTGCTTAAGCATATTATTACAGTGATGAACCCTAGTTTTGCACCATTTGTGAAAATGTAAAATGTGTGTATAGCAATAGTTTCTTTGTGTGACATGCTTTGAAATTATTTATGAGCAATTAATTGTGTCGGATTGGTTGTTGGTAACATAGTTATTATTGGTGCAGACAAACAATGGAGGGCCCTTTGTTGTTGATCTGGGCATCGAAGATCCTGTTATTGAGGCAGAAGCAGGCCTCTTATTTGAAGAAGAGTATAACTCAGAAAATGAAGATGATGAGGAACTAATTCATGGTAGGAGTTTGCTAAGGAAGCTGGTCACCAATTCAAGGATTCATAAGCAACCCCAAGGTCAAAATACTGATAACCAACCCACAGTTGAAGAAGAGGAAACATGGGAGGAAGATGGTTATGAAACTGAATATTACAGTTCTAGTGAAGAAGGAAGCTACAAATATGGTTCAGATCCTGAAGAAGAAGATACTATCAGAGTGAAATCCAGATTTCCAAGCTTCAATCCTGAAGATAAAGTCTCCTTTTCTTTGGGAATGAGCTTTGAGTCAAAAAGTGAAGTGAAAGATGTCATGGATAAATACTCTGTCACCAACAGGTATCCCTATTATTGGGCAAAGAATTGTGCCAACATGCTCAGGGCTAAATGCTCTAATTTGAACAAGGAATGTACTTGGATGGTCTACATTGCAATAGACAATAGGTGTAGCAGTAAGAAGTGGGTGGTAAAGACTTATTAGAGTGAGCATAGTTGTAACCCCGGTTGGCAGCTACCCTGTGCCACAGCAAAGTGGTTAGTCAAGAATTTTTTCAATACTAAGCCAGGAGTATGTGAGATGAAGGTGGCTGCAATGAAAGAAATGGTTAAGAGAGAACTGAACTGTGAAGTTTCCTTGGAGCAAATGAAGAAAGCGAAAGCAATGCTCAGAAAGTTGGAAAAGGGGGATATAGAGGCAGAGTACAAGGATTTGGAGGATTACAAGGCTTAAATTATGAGGTCAAATGAAAGAAATACATGCATTCTGCATGTGAAGCAGCCCACTCCAATTTTTGACAGATTTTATGTATCTTTTCATGCCTGCAAAAAAGGATTCCTCGAGGGATGTAGAAGACTAATTGGAATTGATGGCGCCTTTTTGAAGTCTGAAGTGAAGGGAGAAATTCTTACAGCTGTGGGAAGGGATGCCAATAACCAGATGTTTCCAATAGCATGGGCAGTTGTGGGTTCTGAAACAAAAGCCACATGGAAGTGGTTTCTTGAAAATCTAGGTAGTGATCTAAACATAGGAAGAGGAGATGGCTGGGCTTTTGTTTCTGACCAACAAAAGGTTAAGTTTCAAAGTTGTGTTCTTAACTGTATGTTATATTGTGCCTGCTTTGTATGAGTGTAGTAAAGATTTGTAATATGAGTTTAGTAATATGAGTTTAGTAATATGGAATTTTTAAGTTCTTTAAATTTGTTTTCCTTTTGCAGGGATTAATGCCTGCTTTGTATGAGACACTTCCAGATGTTGAGCATAGAAGATGTGCGAGACACATATATGCAATATGGAGAAGCGGCCACCCTGGAATTGAATTACAAAGAGCATTTTGGAAGTGCTGCAAGTCTGCTTCCAAGAGGGAGTTTGAAGCAAACCTAGAATGCTTGAAGTCTCTTTCTGCTTCTGCACATGAAGACATTCTCAAGGTAGATCCTAAGTTCTGGTGCAGAGCTTTCTTTAATAGAAGCATTAAGTGTGAGACTGTTGATAATAATTTATGTGAAGCCTTTAATGGAGTTATAGTTCCAGCTAGATCTCTATTAGGTTATTCCCAGTTGGAGTATATGAGGAAATTGGTCATGCAAAGACTGAACAAGAATAGAGAATTAGGACATAAGTGGATTGGGCAGTTAGGGCCTAGAATTAGAAGGAGGATCAATAAAACAATACAAGCAAACAACTATTGGAGGGTGCAATTTAATGGAGCAGATGGCTATGAAGTGTCATGTGGGTCTGACACTTATCTTGTGGACTTGGACAATAGGAGTTGTCTATGTGAGCAGTGAGATGTTTCTGGGATCCCCTGTAAACATGCAATTTGTGCCATTAGGGATAGAGGTCATCCAATTGAGGACTATGTCTCTCTATGGTACAAGAAGTAAATGTATACTCATACTCATTGTTCTAAAACTCACTAGGCGCTAGTCGGGCGGTAGAGGGGCGCCTAGCGCCTAGGCGGCCGACTAGGCCGATTTTTCGGCCGACTGGGCTGATTTTTTGGCCGACTAGACCGACTAGGACTCTATGGTTAGGGCCGCCTAGGCCGATTAATCGGTCCGCCTAGGCCGATTTTTAGAACAATGCGCATACTTATTCTGAGATGATGACACCCATAGCTGGTCCTTTATTCTGGCCAAAGACTGACTTGAAAGTGTTACCTGCTGAGTTGAAAACAAAAGAGATGGGAAGGCCTAGGAAAAATAAAATAAAAGAAATTGGAGAGTTTCCTTCTAGTGGGAAGTTGCCAAAGAGAGACACAGCCATGACCTGTCAGCTATGCTTCAAAAAAGGGCACAACAAAAAGGGGTGTCCTTCAAAAGAGGTGATTATGCAAGGCTCAACTACTTTCCCAAGTGAAATTCAAGGTGACAGTGGTAACACTGGTGTGATGGATCAGGCCCCTCCTGATGTGCAACCTGGGAGTTCCAACCCACCAAAAAGAACATGTGGAAACTGCTCCCAACCTGAGCACACTAAGAACAGGTGTCCTAACAAGAATATCTCAATTCAGGTATGGATAATATTGAATGTAATGTAAATGGTTTATGTATTGAAGTGTTAAATTGTTAAAGCAACCACTTATTTGTATGTGCTTTGCAGGAAAGTAACACTGCATATATGACTGCACAAGAAGACAATGGAGGTCCAAGTAGGTTGCAAGCATACTTGTGTGACACGCAGGGTACAAATGAAACAACCACTGATGGTGTATTTGAGTTCAGGGGGCAAAGATCAATAAGTGCTCAAGGTTTGGAGGTAATGACATTTACATATATGGTAGTATAATGCCAATTTGTGTGATGGTATGTGATAGAGTATATAGACTCGGACCCCTGGGTCTCACGACTATTGGGCCCGGACAGTGGCCCACATACGCTCAGTAGATAGCATTTATTTCCTTGTACACTATATTTATTCTTATGTACCCATTAGAATAGATTAGATACCATTTATTAGCCATTTATTGGCCTTTTATTGTAACTGGGCCAGCCAGGCCCAAACCTGGAAGCCCAGCCCTCTTTTCTCCTATAAATACTCCCTATGGGAGCCATGTAAAGGATTGGATGGTTGATTGGAATTCATTATACATATCACTTTATCTCTCTAGCTCTCCCTTCTCTCTAAGATTAAATAATCTATCATTTGGTGCTTTCATTGAGAGCTAGAATATATCAAGTACGATCCTCCCAACCAATAACACTTCAAGTAGGTACCGTAGTGCCAACCACACGTCGGCCAAATGCTACGTGCAATGAAAAGTGGCAAGTGTTATCTAAATGACAACACTTCGTCCCTAGCTTGGAGTAACATGGCCCATTTTTGACAAAACAAGCCATGGTGGTCAAACTGCCAGAGCGTACCACTCTGGTCAAACCATACGTGAGTAAGCAACACCTCGGCCTGGAGTTGGGAACTCGGAAGCATGCCCCCTCGGCCAGGCTTCACTCTCGCCCAAGAAAGTGGACACCTCAAACCGTCCATAAGCCAGGCATCGTACATCATCGGCCAGCACACATCGGCAGGCGACACGTCGGCCGCGACACATCGGCCATCGATGACACGTCGGCCAACAATGCCATTTGCCGGCAACCTCATCGGTCGGCAATCTCTTCGGCCGGCAACCTCATCGGCCAAACAATTGGGGGAGGCACCGCATCGGCCGGCATACAACGGCCAGCATGCATCGGCCAGCAACATTCCGGCCGCGACGCATCGGCCGGCGACACCATTGGCCCGTTGTACACTGTCCAAGGAAGGCCCGTTGACGCCCTCGGCCAGAACGACAGCCGGCTGCTCCCCCATCAGCTTGCAACCCATCGGCCGGCACCCATCGGCCAAGCATTTGAGGGAGACATCCCATCAGCCGGCACCGCATCGGTCGGCATTGGCAACGCATCGGCCGGCACCCCATTGGCCGGCACCACATCGGCCGGCATTACTTCGCCCAAAGGAAGCTCCCTGGTGCCCAACGTCTACCAATCCCTCGACCAAAGCCAAGTATTGGTGCACCCCTCGGCCTATTGGAACCCTTCAACCAGTTCACCTAGTCCTGGAAGCAAGCAGTGGTGCACCCCATCGGCTGGCGCCCCATCGATGCACCGCATCGGCCAGCACCCCATCGATGCACCGCATCGGCCGGCGCCCCATCGATGCACCGCATCGGCCGGCAACACTTCGGCCAAAAGACGCAAATGTATGGCAGATGACGACCAAAAGCTCCTGCCTTGGTCAAACTCAAACAAAAAGGAGTGAGGCAGGCTGGCAGCCCCTTCGG